GTCCGGCATTCGTTTCCTTACGCCGATGCTACCTACGGCTTCTGCTTGGAAGATGCTGCAAGGGCAGATGACTTGAGAATCTTCGTACCCAAATAAATCGTGTGAGACCCGACAGATATCATAAGAACCATATCATTACCAGGCTTCAGCTGACCGACAGTCCACTTGACAGACAGGCACGTACTATTTCGACGATTTCAAAGTGGGGGTAACCCTAGGATTACAGAGAATATGTATGGAGCACGGGCAGAAATATATGATACCCGGAGCAACTACGACGTACTTCGGTGCCAATTCGTGGTTACAGATGATCCATTGACATTAATATTTACCTCCAAAAAAAATAAAATAAACTCCATATATCCTCAGGAACCATATCACTCTTATCTTCAGTCCCCGTGGGAGATCATCGTTTGCTTATTGGTTAATCTTTGCCGCAACTCCTGTTCCCAGTCTAAAGGAAATATTCTGTCAGTGGAGTCCATTCCATATTCATACTTGCAGAGGCCTCCAGATGCCAAAAGGCGTTGGACAAAGAACGATCATGGGATTTCTGGAATCTTAAAACTCACCCTCCATCCACTTCTTCACAAATTTGACTTCTTGTGCCTGTGCGTCTGCTACGGCCTTGGGAGGGAGCATTGGCGTGCTTTCATTCGCAAGCATTCCATTCTCATCCCCTACAAACATCGAGCAGTTCTCATCAGCAGTGATCCTAAAGAAACTCAAAACAGAAACAGGACGTGGAAACCATAACTCACAATGATGTCCAGCCCCCTCGATCAAAATAAACGGCTTTTCGAGCGTGCTTTTCCGTGGCCTAGCCAGTTCGGAATGAGGTGTTGCTGGGCGCCAGGGGTCGACTTCCCCGTCAATGAAGGCCAGCCGCTCATATTCAATGTCGAACCCGCCATATTTGTTGACTCTATTAACGTCCGAAGGTCTGTAGATACCAAAGGCTTCTCGGCACATTATGCTGGCGTACTCGAGGTCGATCAGGCGTGAGACCATGGGCATTTGATCCTGGGGGACCGTGCTGCCGACCTGGAGGAAGCCCCATCTATGAGCAAGGAAGTAGATCAAGATAGAGTCAGTCTGGGTACCCAGATATTAAATCCAAGGTTCTACCTGGTTTCGTTCCTTTTCTCGCTCTGATCCAGGAAAATCTCCAAGAAATGCGGTCGGGGTTTCACTTACTCCGTGCACACCTGATATGGCCAGCACCGATTGTCAGCCTGTGCAAGGCTATCATTCTTAAACCACGCCATATCATGTTGCCCAAGACATTCATCCATTGTCTGTTCAGTCTCCTTGCAATAGACCAGTTGATCGTGATGCAAAAAGCCGGCGAAATTCAGAAGTCGATTCGCTAGAGTCCCTACTTCGTTTCCATAACCCCCTGCAATAAGAAGCTCCTCCGCCTCATCCTTCAAATCACCATTTCCATACAACAACTCATCTGCCGTGATATTGCCGCAGTAGTAGTCGAACTTGTGTGTTGAAATTTTCGGGTCCCAGTTGACAGACTGCCAATAGCTGATACCCCACGCAAGGACATTCGCAAAGTCATCATTATGCGTCAGCCCTTCCAGACCGAAGAAACTTTTCAATCTCTTCGTTTTATTTGGGTCGCCGAGGCCGATTATGATTGTATCAACCATGTCCACGAATTTCTGCGTGGTGGAGACACATTCCGGCGGACCATATTTTCGGACAGGTTCGAAGTATTCCCAGTAGTCGTAGATGGCTTTGGTTACACCGGACGATGAGATAGCCCCCCAGAAGATATCGGGATACTGGGCGCGGAGGAATGCCTGGGCACAATTCAGTGTCTGGTCGAAGAAGGTGGCGCAAACCATCCAGAGCTATTGCCTCCCCATCAAATAGCTAAACAGATAAGGGACCAAAAAGAAAAAGAAAAGAAAGAAAAGAAAAGAAGAGGAAGAACGTACCACCTGTGCTCCTGCATACGACCCTCCATATGCAATCCAAGGCGCATTCCCTCCCTTTGCCGTCAAATCCACATCCTCAAATCCGTCAAACACAACATTTTGCGCAAAATCGGCCGAATCTGCCAGTGCTTGCTCAGTGGTCAGGAATCGCAAGCTCTCAGTCGACAGGTTCGCCGTCGGGAAGCTCTGGCCATAGTAGCGATGTTCCAGAATGACGCCAAGGCCATGAGTTGCTTCACTGAGTATTTTCACAATGCCCTTTTGCAGGAATGGGAGGCGACCTTCGCCATTCGCCTCGCCGCCGTGTAACACGATTACCGGCCCACCCTTCTTGTAGTGACTGGCATCAAACCAGTAGCGCAGGTCGAATTTCTCCCCCGTGTGTGGTTCGTAACGCGGATCAGAGGGGAAGTGGTCTATGAGGGTTTTGAATTTATGGACTGGGTAGCGAGCCTTCAGGTCGGTGTCGTCAGTTTCTGGTCCGGGAATCGAGAGGGTGTCTTGCCACTGATCGGTTGAAATTGATTAGTTGGATTGCGCAGTCAAGTGTGGGAGGTGGGACGGTTTAACAAATGAATATATAGCTCAATTGTATTATTTGGCGATGTCAAACCAATAAAGAGAAGATGCTAGAGCTCCTTCTCCCCCCCAAACCACAACCTTTAAAAACTTAAAAGAGAGCATACACACATCCACACGTATACTCGCGACAGCCAATTGCATAAATGCGAACAATAATACAAGGCGGAAAACTGCCACCGAATGGATCGCCATGATGTTGGCACGCTAAGTCGAGATTTGAATCAAATTAGATCAATGTCGCAAATCATCCCTCCCGTACTTGAGGTTTCGTGTGTGACGGGGGTGGGGGTGGGTGTTGGAATATATTATGATGATGCCCGCCCCGTAAGAGTTTCGACAATGCCGATTATCTCTTGTGTTTGAGTATGCTAATGCTAAACAATTGTCTGAACAAGTTAACCAGAAGGAAAAGAATGTGACCTGCGGCGAGGTATGTGGTATTTAAGTGCCGGTTTGGAGCAGTTTCGTCACAGGCTGGAAGATGAGTAAAGTAAAAAAAGTGAGTAACGGGAGAGATCGACAGTCACACTCCAGTAGGATGCAAGCATGCATTTAAACTCTGCATTTTTGGCCCAATCTTTGAGATAGTGATGGGATGGGCTGGTTGGTTTCCCAATCTCTCGGTCAGTGGTTGCTGCAGATATGGAAATAAGCGGGCTTGTTCCGCAACAATTGCTGGTTGAGCTTGACCAGCCCGTGACTTCTTTGCCCGTTCTTCGCGCATTCCATGCTACCTACCGAACCGTGTGCAGGCTGTTAGCCGTCCAGCGCAGGCGGCCGGTACCTAGGTACGAACTTGGGAATCCATGCCGTGGACAACTCCTTTGTATATGCAAATCGCCTAAATATCTTCGGAAACCAGTACTTGTAGGTTTCTTGTTCTTTTCATATTTTCCCCCTTCTTTCTTTCGTCCGTCCGTGGAAATGGGAAAAGCATTTGTCTCCGTTCGAGAAGCTTGCCAACACTCTTTGCAATTGAGGCAATTGCGAAGCGGAATGTGATCTCGGAGATGCATTGATCCAATGGGTTTCTCCCAAAAGGGTTCCTCACTCTGTGGGTTGATCAGCGGGTGATAGCCGTCGTGGCACTGATCGACGCCACAGTCAGATTCCTATTTGGCACAAGATAGAACAAACTCCATAGATCACTGACCGGGCTTCAGCTAAGCCCTCCCCGCACAATTGGCTATTTATTCGCTGCTCGGCTGGCCGTTTGAAGCTGATACTATCGCGCCGATCGATGTCTCAGCCAGGGGAGGATAAGGCGACGAGCATCTTGGGATGTTTTCAACATCTGAGGAGAATAATATGAACAGGAATTGAATCCACAATGCTCTTCTATTGTGTTCTCAATGAAGATCCAGAGGATGTTATGCAGAGATTATCTGCTAGGCCCAAGATTCAGGAAAGTTTAAAATGAAGAGAACAATGGACTCTGGGCGGGAAAAAATGTGACAAAGCCAGCATCATTTTGCAGATAGACTAGACACTTCCTTTGTGTTCCCCAGGCTTCTGTGCATTGGTTTGCATGCCAGCATATGCATGCATTTCCCCAGGGATTCGCAGAGAGGATTGCAATAATGGCCTGCATCAGGGGAGAGGAAGAAAGAGCGAGAGAAACAGACCGCGAGATGATCTCATGGGGGTGAAGGAGGGTTGAACATGTTGCTTAGTTCAACGTAAAGAATCCTCTTCTATGCTTCCAAATAAGTATTCTCGTTGAATCAAAGATTTACGATGCAGGCTGAGTGAAAAGTAGAGGGGCATGTACAGCACCTTGATCAATGGAGTGGAGATATCACTCTAACCCTGTTAATGCAAGGGAGTGGACAAGGCGGAAGAAATCCCCTCTTGCTGGTCACCATTTCATCTTCCATCTCCCTTCCGCAGTACATGTGGTAGATCCAGCAAATTCCCGAGAAGGTAAAGAGAAATAAAACATTACTGTTATTCTCCGTCGTTATCTATCCACGAGGCTGTATGATCCTGTAACCCATCAGGCTTGTTCATTATGACTCATCCCGCATCATCCAATACTCATCCCACATACAAAATTATGTACTCTGATAACTCTATGAATAATCACCACCACCAATTAGCTCAGAGTTTCTCGTGCGTTTCGCAAACTACAGTGAAGCATCGATCCCATTCCAACAGAAAGGGTGAAAGGGAGAGGGAATTTCGTATGGACGAGGCTACCGTACTTTCATTAGATAGGAGGAAGGTATTGGAGTAATATGTTACCCTGTATTTTAGGAATAGTGACTCTATTATAGCTGTAGAGTAATAATATCAACAGACGTTAAATCCTAGAATGAAAAGATATTATATCCATCTTCCTCGTTCTTATACAATGAACATAAAAAGCCCATCATCGCGACGGCATAGAATTATTATCCTACCATCAATAAATGGGCCCCATTGAAGGGGCAAAAAAGCCCACCCCGAAGACAGTTCCTAGGCTCTCTTGAGCACAAGCGGATACGGGATAGACGGCAGATGAGGAAAGAAAGGGAAAACATCACATTATGTTCGTTCTGATCGTGGGGTTGGATTAAATTGAGACGAAGAATGGGGAACGAATTGACAGTTAAGTTTTTTTTTTTTTTTTTTCCTTGTGTGTTTTCGTCTCCGTTGTTGTCCAGATCCAACTCCTTTCCTGTATGCCTTTGCTCCCTTGTCATGCTCCACCCCCCGTTATATAAACGGGTTAATCTGCTTGCTCACCTATCTGGTTGCCCCTTTCCAACGAAATTGAAAGCTGGAAATGAAATGATGACACAAATTTTCTCCATCTGCCAAACTCAGAAGAAAAAAAAAAAAAAAAAAAACTTAAAAATGAGCGTGAGGTATTTCGAAAAAAGGAGACATAGGAAGAAAGCCCTTTTTCGAGATTCTGGAGAGCCGACATCGTCTGATTGGCATATTCAGTTCTTTCTTTCTCTCTGTCATTGGCCTTTGGCAATTCTTCCTCTCCTTTTCTCATTCAAGGGGACGTGCTAATAGATAGTGGGATAGGACAAAAATCCCGGTTTTTCCATCCGCGTTGGATTGAAGAAAGAATAAAAAGGATAAATAAAAGACATATATAACATGTACCGGAAGAAGACCGAAAAAATAGCGGAACTTTAAGAAAATGGAACAAAGAAAGGTAAAACAGGGCACGGGAAAAACGACGGAAAAAAATTAAGTGGTATCAATTTATCAATTGTATTTTTCCTTTTTTTTTTGAAATTAGACTGCAGCAAGAGACACAACTCCCCACAACAAACCACGAACGAGTACCAGAACCAGAATTAAATGACTCGAAACGCACCCCAAGCGTGTGGCAAAAAAAAAAAAAAAAAAAAAAAAAAAAAACATCCATACTCACCAATTCCTTGTCTTTCCATCCGAGAAAGAAAATCAACGGCCAAGAAAGTCCATCAAGCAAAACGGAACAAGATTCATTTAGTCCTTAAAATTTCTCCTCCTCAACATTCCCCTCAATGCAACAACCTCTCCTTCCCATCTGGCAGCTTGCATCTTCAACTCATCCCTTTCCTTGCATACGCTCTCCAGTGCACGCTCTAGCTCCGCAACACGATCATGTTGCTTTTGGCGGAAGCGGCGGGCAGCAAGGGTGTTGCGTCGACGCTTGTCAGCAACACGGTCCGCTGGCGTTGCCGTAGTCACCGCTGTAGGAGGAGGTGATGTTCGTGTTGATGAAGGGGACAATTGCCGAGAGTTGGTGGTAGGGTCTAGGCCGGCTCTTGTGATTGGAGCTGGTGATTGAGGAGAAGAAGGGGATTCTTGGACATGTTGAGTTGGGACTTGTGAATGGGATTGTGATGGGATGGCAACATGTGATTCAAGGTGTTGCAGATGATTGATGTCTTGGTTGTGAATGCTTTGGCAAGTAGGAAGATAATTCCGTTGGGCGTTATTCGGCGGATAGTTGAAGTCTGGTAGATAAATTTGTGTGTCTGGTGGAATTTGCATCGCGAAGGCATCTGAAAAATTTCGCGCATTAAAATGGAATGTCCTTTCTTGTGTATTGGAATTATCCTAGTGGGGAAACAGGTACACAGCCAATTCCACCAGGGGAAAAATAATGGTCAACCCACCTTGCAAAGTTGAAAAAAGTGATTCATCAATATCTAGCGCATTCCCTTTAGAATCTGGGTACAGTAAATTGCATTCAGAAAGAGCATCAGGAACAGGCGAATCAGAGGGTGGATTCGACAAGGTCGACGCAGCCTTAGCTTGCAAATTAATCCCGGATGACAACAAGAACGAGGAGCTTAGCGACTGGTCACCCCGGTCGAGATTATTATGGTTAAGCTCAAGCAAGTCAAGCCAGGGTGATGTGGGAGCAATCGTAGCGGCGGCAGCATTTTGTGCATGAGAAACAGATCCCTCTGTAGATAAGGGAAATAGGGAGTCCGGGGACAGATGGTAATTGACAGGGGAAATATCATCAACCCCGCTCAACTGATTTGAAATATCATGTTTTTGTTGGTACCCGGGACAAGCGAGTGGTGAAGATAGCTCCCGAGCAGAAGCCGAAGAATGAATAGACCCGAAAGAGGACGAAGAAGCAGAAGGCAAATTTGAAGTTGCAGGAGGAGCAGTAGGAACGGAAGCAGCAGCAAATGGCAGTAAGGACTGGTATTGATTTTGGGAATAGAGAGATGCATCGAAATCGCACACATGAAGCCCCGACGGCGCAGCATTGATATTGTCACACTTGGGTTTGCTAGTATCGCGCCGTTCGAGAGGAAGAGAGGGGTTATGGCGGCTGGAAGAGAACGAAGAGGCGGGAGGGTTGGAAGAATGGGGGGCATGATTGGGTGGGTGCAGACGATGCAGGAATTGTTGCCGCCATGGCGATATGTTGTGGGGGTTTTAGGGACAGGCCCTCAGCGGGCAGGCGGTATAGCGGACAATAAGCTCGGTCTTATCGCCCGGTGGAGAAAAGGAGGGAAAGGTGAGAAAAGAAAAGAGGGAAGAAGAAAGACCAAGAGGATTGGGATGGAGGAAGGTTGAAGTAGGCTTCGTTCAGGGCTAGATGCGGCTGAAAGCCTGCCTGCCTGAATCAGCCGCGGCGATCATTGATCCATGGAACCGATTCGGGTGGATTTTTTTTTTTTTTTTATTTGCCGTGCGATATTCAAATACTTTCCCCCTGCGATATCCACCCAATTGATCCTTTTATTTCGGAAATCATGAAG